TTAGTTGTACCATATCAGGAAAACAAAATGCAGAAAGATCTTTGATTTTGACAATAATAGTTTGTGATTTATTTTTGTTGAGAAGTACTAGATGGCACTTTCTAAGTTTCATATGCTCCTGAATTGTGCCTTTAAATACATTTTGGGACTGACTTGAAAAACAAAATGGCAGCCATCTTTAAAGGTGATTGTGGAAATTTGTTACGGCTCTTTTGTTGAAAAGCATTCGATGGATTTATCTTGAATTTTATATGTAGGTTTGCCTTGATCTCAAGTGGTGACATTTTAATTCTAGCCAGAAAATAAATGACTGATGGTAGACAACCATGGATTTTGACTATGAATTTTTGTTTTGACTATTTCTTGAAGAATACTTGATAAATTGTCATCAAATGTCTAGGTCACATGGCATGAAGTGGCAGTGGTGAAGGATTAGTCTTGTCAATCTATCAACTTTTGTTCAACTACAAAACTTTAGGCAATAGGAAACCAGCATTTGGTCAGGAGATACCTTGGTTCCAGTACAATATATTTGGTCAGGATAAAAAAATGACCATGACTTATTTTCAAGGTCACAGGTAAAATAGATTTAAATTTACATAGTCTTCTCAAAATCTAAAAGACTGGGTATTGATTAGAAGTTCATACAAAAGAACAAATACATTATTAAATGTGATATCTGGGTGACTACACAGTACCTACAGCAGACAGATGTCCAGTGTGAAGCATAGTAGTACTGACTATATAGTGCTATGTACACTAAGGTAGAAAATATGTGACAAGATTATAGAAAGACTACAATGTATTCAATGCCTTATGCTTGGTTTGGCACTCTTGTCATAGATGTATGAGAGTCTGCCCCTCCCTCCCTTGTCCCTTCTCTGATAATTCTGATATTCTCTGAAAGAATTTCCCTAATGGGTCCCGCCATTGTGGTCAAACATTCATAAAAGGTACTTCAGACCAAACTGGAAGGACTTGTTAGAACTTACATTTCCCCAAATGGGCCCACCCCACCTGCCCCAGGTGGCTGGGATTCACCCTTTATACAGAACTTAGTCCCCTTCACCCAAGATTACTCGAACCAAATTTTGGCAATATCCATTTATTCTTATAGGAGGAGTAAGATTTTAAAGAACTTTCATAATTTTCCCTTTTGAACCCCACCCCTATGGCCCCTGGGAACTGAGAACCAATCCTTACACAAACTGTTCCCCTTCACCCAAGGATACTTCTGACAAATAACTAATCATTCATAATGGAAAAGTAGGATATCAAGGAATTTGCTATATTTCCCCAACTGGGCCCCACTCAACCATGCCAGAGGCTGGAAGCAACTGTTTATACAAAACTGATTTCCCCATCACCCAACCATTCTTCAGACCAAACTTGGGGAAAAAACCAATCATCCCAATGAAAAAGTTGACAGACGGACGGACAAAGGACGTGGCGGTATACCATAAGCTCACTTAGCCTTTCGGGCCGGTTGAGCTAAAAATCAGTATGTTATTGGTTTACTTATTCAGTTCAGACGACAGAATATGAGTAACAGGAAAAAATTGTTTCCATAAATTATTATTTTTTCCTGAATTAACTGATATTTTGTTTTTTGTGACAACCCCATTTTTAAAATAAACTTTGGCATTTCATTTTACAAAGTAAGGGTATGATACTTGGATATAAAGAAAAAAAATAATGTGAAAATGCCAAAGTTTTCGTTTGCTTATACAAGTTTTACACAGCAACAAAAGAAAAAAATCAAATCAAATGTTCCAAAGTTACGGGAAAATATTTTTTTTGAAAAAGCGATTGGTTTCAGCTTACGAGGGCAGATGGAAGGGTGCCCAATAAAAGAAAAAGAACAAGTTAGAATTCTTATTTTTCTGTAGCAATGCCTGGATTCTGTCCAAATTTGAAGCATTCTAGTATAAAAAAAAAGAACAGAATTTTTAATAAGTTCTGAGTTTTCCATTATATGTTTCCCCACCGATATCACACACGTCTCTTGAGCACTAGAATGCAAAAATTGAATATTGATGCATTTTTTTAAAACATAAAACTTAATTTGAGTGGACAGAAAGAATATGGGTTCATAGTCAATGTTTGGAAAGACAGCATAAGATTCATAAATCATTGTTTAAAAACAGAGGAAAATAAAATCGTTGAGTAAACAAACTTTTTCAAAATCAACTGAAACAACATTGTCTTTGTGATGAAGTTGTGGAGTTGAGGATTTCAAATATTTATATATTGTCTTTCTGTATTTTAAGACACTGACCATGTATTCTATTAATCCTGCAACATTGATTGAAAATCAGACTACTGAAACTCAAACAGTTTTGTTGTTCAATATACATGTGTTTACTTGACATTGACGTTACGCTGAATTTTGCCTGATGACGACGCCAAAGTAATTGCTCCGCACGGAAACATAGTTCCAAAATTCATCGGATATAACAGCGAATTTTCATAGATAAACATGTTCGTTACAACATGCAAAATCTCTCATTTCAACAACTATTTATGTTTCTAAACGTAATATTCAATAAATGTGACAGGTAAAAATATACTTCACCATAATATATCTAGTCTAATATTATGTTTATATTAATAATACATTGTATTGATGTGAATACAGAGGCAAAGATGTCTGCGTTCACTACTATCCTATTAAATCCTATTAAAAATAACAAAAACATCTAGATTATTGTACAGCTTGGTAGTTTCTATAATGCTACGAAAAGCACGACACGTGGATATAAATGAACTTGTGCCTAAATTATATTTGATGGAAACATTTTGTAGACAGTATTGTAAACATTACTAGGTAAGCCAAGTTGTAATTTATTTCATGTAGAAATGTCGATCCTTGTGAAATTAGTCCCGTGATAACAACACATTTGTATCGCAGATTCCCGTGTAATTTTACTGAACATAATCTACTGATGTGTAGGACAAACAACTACCTCCTGTCTTACCAGATTATCTTATTTATCAAATTGCTATCTGATTCAAAAAATAAAATATGTTGTAAAGAAAATTTGATAAGATATTTGATTTACTAAATAAAATATATTATTTGATAATAAATATCATATGTAATTTGGTCAAGTACAATGTCTATAGATAAATAAAAGACATCTTGGCTTGTAAAACATTTCTGTTCTTGCTGAGCGTCGAACCTGTTGTTTTTGTGCTATGTGCATTTGGAAAGCTGACAAGATTCGTATGTGGAATGCTATCTCTGTCCCTGACCTTGTGCATTAAAACGGAGACTTCCTGTTTTGACGACGAGAGAGGGTATGTGATTACAACGTACTTAACATAAGGTAAGGGACTTGTGTTAGTTATTGGTATGTTTTTTCATACACCTCGCGCTTTGGTACTGTGTGTTGTTAAACAGGTAGGACACATCCTGTGACTTATATCAAGTATCGAATAGATACGCGTTTTTACATTTTAATAACAATTATATTTGTTCAAAAGATGATAGATAGATCAACAGTGGGGATCACCGTTGAAAGACGTCCTAGGCATGTACGTAATGTGCCACAACAGACAATAATGTTTCTTTGGCAGGGAAACACTAGTACATGTAATCATACAGATTCGTTTTTCAACCATATCGTTACTTTTATCAACACTGTACTTTAGAATGATTTGATATATGTTTCACTTTCGTTTTAGTTAAGTTTTACTGACTGATTAATATTTTATGAGGTCTTCTAAAAAATGTTATAATATATATATATATGTATGTTCCATTTATAATCCCACGTTTTAAAGGCACAGTGTACAGTAAACACATTGTGCCTCGTGCGTCCGTGCGTCCGTGCAAAGCTCCTGTACAATGTATTTCAAATATAAACTTTATATTGCAATTTCAAAACAAAATTAGAGATTTTTGTTGGCCTGGATAGAAGTGTCCGAAGGGTCTTACATTAGGAAGCAGGAGTACGTGGAAAAACGCACGTGGTTGAGCAGGTGACATCCCACCTTTTCACGCACAAGCAGGGAATTGAATTCTGATCTTCTAAGTAAAAGGCGAGTGTTTTGCCTCTATGTCGCCCAGCCAATCGACATTCATGAAGACCTGAACATATTTAGTTCTTATTTACAACACAGCACGACGCCGAGTTCTACACCTTGCAAGATTTTGGTGTTCGAGAATTAAGGTCAAATGTTCACCCTTAACCACTTTGAAATACAATCCTTGTGTATGAAATAATTCCTGAACCCTGATGGCACAATAACATCACACAATCTAGTACTACTCGTTATCTGACAACATTTTGATGGTCAATGTTTAATCTCAGTATCGACATAAAAACAGACAGAAAAAAGTAAGATATCAGATGAACCTCTAGGCAGATTAAGTCCATATTCACAAAACCATAACACTATTGACCTCTACACCTTCATTAGATTTTAGGGCTGATTGGTCAAGCTGAAAGGTCACACATGGACACTTTTTGAAATAAAATCTTGTATAAAAGACATCCTATGAATCCCTCACGCCATAGTAAAACAATATCAAATGCTACTTCTATGTGAATTTTTTTGGAGGTCATCGGTCAAGTTTAAAGGGGTTAAAGGTCAACTTCCACTTTTGAAATTAAAACATGGCGCACAATATATCTTGCGAACCCCTCTAAAGGTCGAGTTGTAAAGAGAGTGGTGGGAATAATGATATACAACTCTGCTTACTTTGTTTGGTTCGTTAAAAAGTGTATTGCATTTATGTCATATTTCACTTTCGTTTTAAAAAAAATGAAAAATAATGATAGAAAATTGAATAAAGTTCACTTTATGTTGACAGTCTTGCGTACCTAGTGTATATCCTTACCGGTGACCTGTTTCCTACCACCTATTCATCGTAGTGTCCCCTTATTGGAAAGTTCGTTGAACTGTTGTTTAAAGAACCCCTTGATATGTACATGTATTTTTGGCTTTGAAAAAGTGTCTATACATATACATTGGGGAGTACAAAACGTAGTTAGATGTATGAAGTTCACATGTTCACGATTTTTAATTTGCTTTCTATAGAATATAATGAGATCACTATGACGGAGGTCGAGGCAGTGTTGGGGAAACTGAAAGAGATTGGACACGATCTTGGGAAAGAAAGGGTTGCCGATGCTCTGGCAAATATCCTGAAAGATCTGTCGAAAAATGGAGGAAAGATGCATACGATTCTCACCCAACTTGGCTGTATTGGGTTTGGTGTCAAGAACATGCTTGACGGGGACATTGGAACAAAATTGATTGGTTTGAATTCTGTCGTGTCTGCTATTCAAGTGTTAGCTCCAGTTTTCGAACGCCCTGCAAAGGAGTTTGCAAATTTCATATGTTCTATTTTCTCATCTACGGATCGAAACAGTAGTGATGTTTTATGTCATGGTAGTCTTCGGGGTGCTAGCGCGATTGATATGCTGGCTAAGGTAATATCAGGCACTCATGATTCCTACGGATATGATGTGATGAAAGCCGATGTAGATGGCGCATGTCGAGTGTTTTCCTTTGCACATCACGTTCTTATTGGTGTGAGCTCTGATTCTGACGAGTGTCCGAACAGAAGGGAAATATCGGATGTGATTAATACAATTGGCATAAACAACGGTGTGAACACGTTAGGAAAAATAGCGTCAAGAATTGTTTCATTGATGGAAAACGAGCCTACAACACAATCAGAGAGAGAACTGTCCATGTATAGCGAGAGAGTTATCAAGTACATCGACATGTACTGTCACCTTGCAATTCTACGTGACGCAGTCATGCTGGAGTTCTACGCTTTGCTTATATCCTCAGGACATTCTGACCGCCTGGCAAAAGGTGTCACGGAAGGAATGGAAGGTGAGCACGAGCGGGACAGGAACTTGATGAAATCGTTGGTACTCCCTAACCAAAAACATGTTCGGTTTGCCTCATTCTTTGATCCTGACCGTTGGCCGTTCACTTTTAAATTCATTGAAGGCTACAAGGATTTCTATACAATGGACAATCTGGATAAGGTACCAGTTGTCATGAACACTGTGAAATGGATGAATTGGTTTGCAACACACGACACAAAACCAGCAGTATGTCTCCGTTCCTTGAAATCCTCGTTGGAAAGACCACTGGACAAATTAAAACACAACTTCGTCTTACTGAAGAAAGAGGGATCTTCCTGTTACTATATTTGCCCTCAAGGTAAGAAGGATATGTATGTTGTTATGAGGAATGACGATAAGAAGTGGGTGGAGGTCAGACGAGGAAAGCCTGGCAAAGAAGGCGAGTGGAATCTCTTCAATGTTCAGGACAAAGACTCTGTGTATATTCTCTCCACCAGGCGATGGCCAGTTCATTTTCTGAGTATGTCCGACACGTGGCTTGGCTGGATACATGGAAAGACAGCGTCTGTCTCGGACCCGTCTGTGCAATGGATAATACAGTACAACGGATCGAGGGCGTAAGGCGTTGTTAGTCAATTGCCCTCCTATTTTCTGCAATGGCTTTAGTGCATAGACAGTACTGGCATGTAATTTTGATACCTTTATAAAGGAACTCCGGTCGCGATTTTGAAAAAGTTTTGTATTTATTCTGTCAAAATTTAATTACTCCTGTTACGTTTATTTTGAATTATTTGAAGATTTGAAACTACTATATATGAGCTGGCGAACTAATGATGGTAGAGCCCGCAAATAGAACCAGCATCAAAGATGTGCGAGAAAAATGTAACAAATATAACTTTTTTGTATCTCGTTAAATAGCTCTTCAATTTATATTAGCCATGGCATAGATATGATATAGTATGTTCTTGAATCATCAGAAATCTTTAGGAAGCTGGATTGTTACTATTGAGACGTGGAAAACTTCAATACGGGAGAAGGCACCAGCAGGTGACTTGACATGACACAACCTGTTTCTTAAAGTGAATGTGGTTAACAATATGGACAGGTGTGATGATCTCCTTTATTTGGATATATGCAGTGAGAAAATAAAGAATTTAGATATCAATGTCGTTGGAGGTTCTCATGAGTAAATCGACAGTATTGGTTATTGTAATAGTTTACACTTAATTAACACATGTTGATGTCGGGTTTATTTAACAGGTCTATACATCATGTATCACTTATCTGGTTTATTTTGCTTAAAGTTATTAATTTAAACTAACAAAAATTCAAAACCCTTTTCCTATTTCTGCTATTAGGCTCCGCCCCTTTCACCAGGGGAGTTAGTTGCACTGTTTGTGCTAAAATAAGTTTCGTCACCTAAGATCACCTATGGACAAAAATAATTAATTCCAACACAGGATGAACTTTTAAAGAGTTTCCACTATTCGATCCTATCCCCTCACGTCCCTGGGTGCCGAAACCCACTATTCATACAAAATTGATCCGAAACATTTCTCGGACCACATAATGACAGATATCAGGCATTCCTACATAGAATGGTTTCAAAGAATATACTCTATTTCTGCTATTGAGTCCTGCCTCAGGCGGCTGAGATCCGCCGTTTATACAAAAGACTTATTCCCCTTCTCAAAGAATGCTTCAGAACAAATCGAGACAACATCCAGGTATTCCTACAGAAGAAGCAGGATTTTTAAGAGTTTGCTCTACTTCTCATGTTTGGCCCCGCCCTTCCTGCCCAAGGGGCAGATACCTACCATCTCCATCAAATTGATTCCAATTAACCCAAGGATACTTGATACCAAATCGCCACAACATCCAAATAATCCTGCAGAAGAGGAAGTATTTTTAGAATTTGCTCTATTTCCCCTTTTTGGTCCCACTCCAGGGGCCTAGACCCACAGTATATACAATATTAATTCCCCTTAACACAAGAATGTTTCAAACAAAAGTTTGACAAATTCCAATCATTCCTGAAAGAGGAGTAGGAGTTTAAAGAATTTCTTTTTTTTTTCAATTATTGGGCCTTGCCTAAGGGGGCTGAGAACCAAAATATATACAAACATTGTCTCGTTTCCATGGATGCTTCTTACCAAATTTTGTCAAAATCTGTCGAGCCGTTCGTTACTGGTACCATTTTTTTGTAAATAATTGACGGACGACGAATACCATGCTATAAGCTTACCTGTCCTTCGGATCAGAAGGTGAACTGACATATTCTCTACAATATTGTATTTTGACATTGTTCACAGTTAATTTGATATTTTATTTTCTGTTTTATGACATTTTGATTTCGCACTTTTTCGTTAATGTTACTTTATTTTGGTGTATTTTCTAAGGTTTTGACTTCGATAACTTCTTTTGTGTTGATTGATATTTTGATATTTATCGTAGAATTCGATATTACAAATAATAGTATTAGTTTCTTTATACGTGTTCGATTCTTCTTAGTTCGTATGAACGTGATGATATAAACTTATGTATGGATGTATTTTAGTCGATTCCCCATGTTTATGAAACGTTTAAGGTAGTACTGTGTTTAACTCTAAATTTGTTTAAAAGACGCTGTTCACTTGTGTGTCTTTGAACAACTTTTGAGATAAGTGGCTAGTAGGCACAGCTGGTGGACGTTTAATCCCCGAGGTGGTCCGTAACCTGCACGAAGTGTTTTAATTCAATCGAATAGGGACACGGTTTAGAACATTCATCTGTATGTGACGTTTAAAATTATCTTATATATGAAAACTATTGCACCTCCATGTCCTGATTTCAACCTTTCTTTCGATCTCTTTGGAATTTCCTCAGGCGCCTCCAAGGCTTAAAATTTAGGCCCTTAACTAATGAGTCCTCGAAGGAGTAAACAGCTGTATGATGCAGTTGAGTTCATTGTTAGGCTTTACTGTATCAAAATCTAAATTTGTATAACAAGTTGATATTAAAGAAAAAAGAACTTATAGATACAATTACGTTTGTCCTACAAAGGAGGATCACGCATCCGTGAGGAAAATGAATGTAGTTGGAGCCAAAACATGTAGTATATCTTCATGAACGATCAGCAGTTTTAATAACCTAAATACAGGTTAGCTATTTATAGATTGCAATTACAGCGAAACATTGGTTTATCAGGATGTTTCAAATTGATCTACTGCCAAGGTTTAAAAATGCGGTTTTCGTATTATCCTAATCATTGCTCGTCTCCGTTTTTCGTCATAAATTTCCCTTCTGAAACCCGTCGTGAAGACCCTTGCTATTAGTGTCCCCTTGCACTCCCTACGTGGGGACCTTGGCTGTTGGTGTTCTCTAGTACTCCCGTCGTGATGACCCTGGCTGTTAGTGTCCCCGAGTAGTCCTGTCTTCAGGACCCTTGCTGTGGATTTCTCCTTGGACTCTTGTCGTAATGACCCTGGCTGTTGATGTCCCTTAGGCCCCCTGTCGTGAGGACACTGGCTGTTGATGTCCCCAGGACTCCCTTGCAATTTGTGTCCCTTTCTATTGCAGTCGTGAAGACACTCGCGGTTGGTGACTCCTTCGACTCCCGTTGTGAGGACTCTTGTTTTTGGTGTCAAAAAGGACTCCCGTCGTGAGGACCCTAGCTGTTGATGTCCCCAGGACTCCCGTTGTGAGAACCCTTGCAGTTTGTGTCCCTTTCTATTGTAGTCGTGAAGACACTCGCGGTTGGTGACTCCTTCGACTCCCGTTGTGAGGACTCTTGTTTTTGGTGTCAAAAAGGACTCCCGTCGTGAGGACCCTTGCTGTTGGTGTTTCCTTGGAATATTGTTGTGAGAACTCTTGATGTTGGTGTCAAAAAGGACTCCCGTCGTGAGGACCCTTGCTGTTGGTGTCCCCTAGTCCTCCTTTCGTGAGGACACTAGCTGTTGATGTCCCCTAGTACTCCTGTATTGAGGACCTTTGCTGTTGGTGTTTCCTAATACTCATGTGTTGAGGACCTTAACTGTTGATGTAACTCAGGACTCCCGTCGTGAGGAGTCTTGCTGATGGCGTTTACTTGGAATCTTGTCGTGAGGAGCCTTGGTGTTGGTCTTACCTTGTACTCCGGTCATGAGGTCCTTTGTTTTTGGTGTCAAAAAGGACTCCCGTCGTGAGGACCCTTGCTGTTGGTGTTTCCTTGGAATATTGTTGTGAGAACTCTTGATGTTGGTGTCTCCTTGGACTCTTGTCGTAAGGACCCTGGCTGTTGATGTCCCCTAGTCCTCCTTTCGTGAGGACACTAGCTGTTGATGTCCCCAGGACTCCCGTTGTGAGGACCCTTGCAATTTGTGTCCCTTTCGATGTCCCTCAGGTTGGTGACTCCTTCGACTCCCGTTGTGAGGACTCTTGTTGTTGGTGTCAAAAAGGACTCCCGTCGTGAGGACCCTTGCTGTTGTTTGTTTTCTTAGACTCCCGTCATGAGGACCCTTGCTGTTGGTGTCCCTAAGGACTCCCGTCTTCGAATACATCTCGTCTGTTTCAACTTTTGATACACAAAATTGTGATATTTATACTCCGTGATTAAGAGCAAATGTGTTTGGGTGGCGCAGTGGTAACGCAATAGCATTTCACCAAGGCGTCGTGGGTTCGATTCCTCGATGAGACTTGAAATGGTAGGGGATATCCTGCATGATCATGTGGACTTTCCTTGGATACTCCGGTTTCCTCCCACAAATAAGACTCCTCGCGCATATACATCCAAGCCAACAAATGTGATTAATTTAAGATGGAATAATTTGTTTCGCAGGTGTTGTAAAATAAACGAAGTTGGATAAAAAAAAAGTCAAAAAAGAAAAAATGTTGACGTATATTAAAGATCATATATATATATATATATATATATATATATATATATATATATATATAATAATAATAGAAGACAACCTTAAGATTGGAAACAGATGTTCTTATTGTTCATAATACAGTATTGCTATTGCTACCTCTAGCCGTGGAACATTTACTATGATTATTAATGCAGTAGATTTTTGTTTTAAGAATGGATTAAGATTCACAACAGTGAACATGGCGTCAGTGTGGTGAAATCATATTTAGAACAAACTTATATATTTGGCGCTTTGGATTGTTTATATTTGCATGTTTATTAATTAGTATCAAAATTAAAACTAAAGAAGAATAATAACTTATTATATGAAATACATGTTTCAGTCCCTTCTGAGTATCGAACTCAAAATTATGTGTTTGTGTTTTGTACAGAACAGGTATTTGGACACGACACGATTCCTCCGTCGTTACCAGTTAGCAGGGACTTCCTGTTAAGACGATAAGGTACGCGCATACAACGTACTCTACACCGGGTAAGAATATGTAATTATTTGTTCTTAAAACTGGCTGTGATATCATCTATTGTTCTTACATTAAGTATAGTTATTAGAAATCTAAGAGTATGGTCTACTTCTGCTTTATAGTTACGTTTTACTGTAGAATAGCTTGTAACTAATCTGGTGTGAATTATGAAGGCGTAAGATCGGAGCACAATGAGATAACTGTATCTTAACAGTATATATATCTAAGCAAATTCACTATTACTATCAAAACAATTGGTCAATGGTAGGTCTCTGTTCACTTATTTCCTATCCATTGTAGTAGTCCCAATCATAAAAATGAGCTCAATTTTATAATGTACCAAAGTTAGTTTATGTCACAATGACAAAATATTTTAGTTAGGACAAAATTACCGGGTTTGGGTCTCGGGAAAAAGTACCTATGACAGGGACATTTTATATGCAACTGCTCTTACACTGCGATTATTATTAAAAATCACGCCGGACTTGTCTGAAAGATAATCAGTTGACCTCTTGACATGCTATGTGTTTGGTTCTTGTGGAGCAATGAACCTAAATTATCTAGAACAATTAATAGTTTAACTTGAAACACAATGAATTAACAAACCAGTATTATAAGCAACGACTAAATATACTCTGTCGATCTATTTGATGATAGCCACCAAATTTTATCTTTTAATAGTAAATTCTTTAACCCATCTCTAGAGGCCTTTTGCTGCCGGGGCTGATAACTTTTCCAATATTTGAAAAATCTTTATTAATCATAGTTTCTAAGAATTCTCAGAATTTCTTTATATACTCGATTGCATGTAATAATTTTTGATATTATTTCTATTTAATTTTACTTCCACTGTAACAATATGTATTCTACATTTAGTTGAATTCCAATTTCATTATTCAATTTCCGTAAAGTACCCTAAATCTGACCTAGATAATTAATTTCTTATATCATATATCCATTCGTTGCCCCGTTCAATCAATACAGTTGTCTGAATTTTAGGTTGATATCAATTATCTTAAAAAGTTCAAATTTTGAACTAATTGTAAAGGTAGACTGTCTAGATAGTGATAAATCATAACATTTGGCGTGCATTTCTTAACCAAAAGCATTCTCTATCAAACACTTACACGCAAATGTTCAATATCAGTCACTTTATGAAAACCTTATCTTTTTTACAACTTGCTTGATTTTTCAATCATATCTTCAGTTCCCATCTTAAAATCCAGCCTGAAGGATTGGTTTGTGAGTATCATTCACAGGAGATATGAGATAATTTGAATTAAAATTATCACCGTTTTTTTTTAAATAGAGCAAAGGTAATGAACTTTTGTCTTTTAAGTGAACTCGGCCGATATTTTTAATCACTTCTCATTCTCTAAATAGATCTACTTTCGTTTCAACTGATTGCTAATGACGGCAGTAGGGAACCTGATGTTTCTGGCACAGGTTCATTTGGTGCACTCACATATGGAATCCTTATCACCTCCCTGGTACTTCCCTATTGGCACCCCATTTCAGCAGTGGGTTACTGGTTGATAACGTCACGAGTCACATCTATTTATAGAATGATTGCATAACGTTTTGAAATTTTCAATCGGAGAGCTCCAAAGGTAACAAGATAGAGGTAAGTATAAATTCCGTCCCTTAAGATAATATAACAGACCTAAACGCTTGACCGTCATACATAAAAGTACTTGATGTGGTTGTAGACATACAAAACTCATACTTGCCAATGTCTGCTTTTCATATCTTTTATGTGTGTGGTGCTGTTTACGTAGTGCTATCTATACAGGTGTTGATCTAGTATACACACACACAGATGACATGTCATCGTGTTATCTTAAAGTAGGTAAATCAAATATCAGAAACACATTTTGGACAAACATTTAAGTAATATGTATTATAGAATCTTCAAACCACCATCCAGCGATAGAACACACTGAATACAAAATGGCTAATTACAAACAAACTTTAGCTATACGTTGCTTCACTTGATTGCCCTTTAAAAATGTCCCCGTCGCGACGGAATGAATATGGGTCGGAGAGCCATCCCACACCCATTCTTACATAAATGACATATTCTATTCATATACATCGAGATAAAATATTTAACTACTACGAGTCGTCTACCACTCATGTTACAGTATTAAAACGATATGTGTGCATGATTTCCTACAACATGGTGTCACAAATTGGACCTAACTATGATAGTGCACCCTCCTATTTTGACATCCGCCAGTGCCCGTTTCCATAGCTGATGATTCCATCGTCGAGCAAATAACGCTTGTCATCGAATGGTGACGATCCAATTTTGTTCTTATTGATATTGTGCAGCTGGTGGTCATAGCTCCTTATTTGTGTCATCTCTGACATCTGTCGCGTCCGTCCAAAGAGGAACTGCTTTGTTTGTATTGTGTTTGATTCTTTATAACGCTTTTCTCCTTTGACCTCTTTGTCTCGACATGAAAAGTGGGTTTCATGCGCTCTCCATCTACATATTTCGTTGATGTTTTGTCGTAGACGTAGACATACATTTTGGATTTTAATCATATAAAGTCCTGTATGACATTTCCGTTCGTTTCGTCCTTCACCTTTCCAAATACCTTTTTATTCGTCAAGCTGTAGAAAGGATGTTCTCAATCATATTTTGTAGAACAAAAAGGAGGTGATCTTGCCACATGTCATCGTGTAGGTCATTCGTACGAAAGACATATGCCAGTGAGTCTGTAGCTGTGGAAAAACAATGTTGCGTTGGATACGTTCTTACACCTGACATAGTTGTGGTGGAAGTCGTAACTTAAGGGTCTTTTTTAAATATCTAGAACACTGTAGCCGACGTAGATCAGTCGGTTTAGGTTCAAATGTTTCAACATAGAATAGACGACATAGAATTAGTGACCTGCATTTGGTCGGGGTAGTGGGGTTCATGGAGCTCATGGGGATACTCAAGGTCTACTTCAAGGATATAACCTTCGGGCGAACTATCCGAAATATCCATTAAGTCAATGTTGTCTTTTTCTTTATCGCTTTGCGTACAAAAGACATGAGTTGGAAAGGATGGTGACAACCCACCAACAGAGATTATTTGCGTCTAAGTACGCAATATATATATATCTTCATATGTTGGGGTCATACTCAAGGGCATAAGGGTTGTCAGCTGCGGTATGACGATAGGTAACCATTAATACCACCATAAATACCATAATACCACCACGTAGACCTTTCCCTATAAACAAATGCAGATCGATATTGGTGAGGAGCTCAAGCGGAACGCCAGTCATTTTGAGTGCTGCTTGCCAGGCCAGACCTGACGAGGTGTAAAAGCGAGTAGCATCTAAACCATATGATTCTAGACACAGATTAAAGAAATTCTCAAAGACATCCGCTTATCCATATGTAACAGAAAGATCGTAAAGATCAGAGTAATCTCCGATAATCTGCATGTGGAAGTTTCTCATACAGTCTGGGCATGCTGGTATGCCTTCTGTGTTAGATATTCCCGACAAACTTCTGTGAAATGCCTCTTTAGGAGGACCTGTATGGTCCGTCAAAATAGTTGTATGGTTATACTTGTTTTTGTGAAAAGTTGTCGATGTTGTCCTGCCCAAAATGGTCGGTCATATGTTTGAAGTTTCCCTTGCTTTCCTGTGCCGAATCCCTATCAGTTTTTTTTTAAGGAAGCTGGGAAAAACTGAAAGCTACCTATAAAATCCGTACACCTTAATGGAAAGGGGAAACATTTTCCATATTGCTTGGAATACATTTGATCTCTTAGGTTTGCACTTAACCTATTGCGTGCACGATGAGATGGGATTTATACCCTCTCAGACTGTGAAAGAAGACGGGAATGCGGCCTGTGTATTTATACTTTATATTACAGTCAGTGTGGGCTGCACATCGAAATGCACCAGTCACGTAACAATGAGCACGCACTTGGTCATTTCCAAGCTTTTTCCCACAAATGTGGCACATGGCTGCCTTCTTAATTGCTTGCCGGTCGCTTTCCGGTCTTGGCCTTTGGTTCTTTTCCAGTTCTACTAGTGCTATTTTTTTTATTTTATCTTTTTTTTTTGTTAATTTTTTACCTTAACTGCTAGATATTCACAATAGTTTAACGTATAGGACTTCCATTGAACTGAGTCATTTTAGTATTTATATATACTATATAATAAGAAAAACATAATTAGCTTGTATGTTTCGGTCAGATTTAATTAACCCTAGATGGTATTTGAAGTTCAAAGTTCGCCTTTTTTATAATTCGCCTTTCTTTTACAGCTAGAGCATCATGGCAAATGCTGATGCAGTATTTTGAATTAACAAACCAGTATTATAAGCAACGACTAAATATACTCTGTCGATCTATTTGATGATAGTCACCAAATTTTATCTTTTAATAGTAAATTCTTTAACCCATCTCTAGAGGCCTTTTGCTGCCGGGGCTGATAACTTTTCCAATATTTGAAAAATCTTTATTAATCATAGTTTCTAAGAATTCTCAGAATTTCTTTATATACTCGATTGCATGTAATAATTTTTGATATTATTTCTATTTAATTTTACTTCCACTGTCACAATATGTATTCTACATTTAGTTGAATTCCAATTTCATTATTCAATTTCCGTAAAGTACCCTAAATCTGACCTAGATAATTAATTTCTTATATCATATATCCATTCGTTGCCCCGTTCAATCAATACAGTTGCCTGAATTTTAGGTTGATATCAATTATCTTAAAAAGTTCAAATTTTGAACTAATTGTAAAGGTAGACTGTCTAGATAGTGATAAATCATAACATTTGGCGTGCATTTCTTAACCAAAAGCATTCTCTATCAAACACTTACACGCAAATGTTCAATATCAGTCACTTTATGAAAACCTTATCTTTTTTACAACTTGCTTGATTTTTCAATCATATCTTCCGTTCCCATCTTAAAATCCAGCCTGAAGGATTGGTTTGTGAGTATCATTCACAGGAGATATGAGATAATTTGAATTAAAATTATCACCGT